GTCTCGCCCCACACACCCCCCCTAAAAAAAAAAAAAAAAAAAAAAAAAAAAAAAAAAAAAATATTGGCAATGCAACAAGTGTTAAAAAAATTAATGGAAACGCAAGAAACTTTAACCATTTATTAGAAATGCAAAACAAAATATAAATATTGCAAGAAACGTTCATATTAATATTGGAAATACAAGAAATATTAACATAATATATAAATTGTAAGAAACATTTAAATAAAATTTAATATGACATAGAAATTAATAAAACAAAAAATTACGAATAATTTACCTCACTGCTAAGGTTTTCCCCGCTTCTATGGTTGTTCATCGCTTTTGTCAAGGCATCTCTCCATTTTCCCAGCTCTTTATTAAGAATTTTACATCTACTAGATAATGCCTGATCCATACGGATCGAACCAATTACCCTTTCACAAAATTCCTGATGAATTTTTTTCCACATATGACATAATTTGATCTCATTGTCCATTACGGGACAATGACTAACTTGGAGCCAAGCCTCACACAAGCTACTATCTTCCGTCATGCTCCATGCCCCTCCTCCGGTTTCACTAGAAGAACCCATAATATGATGGAGAAAAAAATAACTTGAAAGAGAGAAAAAAAACAACTTGAAAGTGAAAAAAATTGAGTACAAAGTGAAAAATAGTAGAAGGAGAAGAAAATGTATGAGGAGTTGATGTTAAAAGTGAAGAGAATTGGTTGGTATTTATAGAAAAAAAAAAATTCAGTATTTTTTTCGTATTTTTTTAAATTTTTTCTGATTTGGAAAAAAATGATCGGAGAGCCCAGGAGCTTCCACGTGGCATAGAGCCGTTGGGGGTTGCTTTTTCGATTTTTTTTTTCGCGAAAAAATGGCCGCCTTTAAAAAGCTGATCGGATGGCCCAGCAGAAGACACGTGGAAAAGAGCCATTGGGCGGTCACTGTAGCGGCACGTCAAATTTTTTTTAAAGTTGGCGCGCGCATTGCACGCGCCAGCTTTAAAAAAATTAAACCCCAGTGCTGACGTCATCGTGACGTCAGCACAGCCGCGAGCTGGCGCTCGGGCCAGCCTAGGTAAGTGGGCCCCACTGCTTGCCCTGGCAGCTTCTTGTTGCTGGAAACCACATTTTGGGTTTGCCCCCCCAACCCTCCCTTTGGGCCCCTTGCTGCCAATGCTCAGATGACTATTCTGAATCCGACTATACTTTTCACATTATGGGCTGGTCCGGCCCATCACTATTCATGGGCGGGTTAATGTGACAATATGAGGAGGGGGCTTCTATAGTGAGTGGAAAATTATAAGGGGTGTTTTTGAGTGGTATGTAAGAGCCGTTGGATTTCATCCAACGGTGAGTTTTTAAAAAAGGGTGCATGTAGAACCGGGTTGAAATCTGATCCGTTGGAAACCCAACTTCAGTTGAAGATTTTTCCCTCTCTGTGAAAAACTGAAGAACACAATCCTCTCTTTTTGAATGTAATGCAAACCCACAATTAGAAATATCTAAAGCTCCCAAACCCTATAGTCGCTCCATTGTCATCTGCTCCTTGGGAGGCTTGCAATCTATGGTATCCTCGGTATGACGATTAATGACTCTTACGTAGCTATTGTCCTGTTTTGATTCTATGGCTCAAGTGAAAACCCCTTCTCTTTTTCGTTCAGCATACGAGATTCCAGATGAAAGCAAAGTAGCATATCTCTTTCTGTAGCTAGACGCCGCAGCAGCAGTTGTTCCTCGATTTTGGTAGAGATTGAGTCTCCACTACCAAAGAATCTTCTCTAATGTCCACCACATTCTCTCAAGCTGACTGATTTCGGAGCTCCCGATTGACTTTGAGAGGTAAGTTCACTCTTGCTGGATTGATTATGTTGGGTTTGGTTTATTTTTTGTGAGGGTGGAAAATTCATCATTTGTGGCATCAATAATGAGTCATATGTAGAATCAATAATCCGTCATTTTTGCTGTCAATAATGCATCATTTCCTTATGAATATTCAATATACTTAGTTGATTGTTTTTGGGGGGTGGGGGTGGAAAATTATGAAATGTAGGTAAAAGATCCTAAACTTAGGCTTAATGACATTATGAGTAAGCATTTGGATAGGATATTGGGTGAAGTTCTGTAATTGCTGGTTTGAATTACATTTGTGTTCTTTTGGTTGTAATGTTATTTTTTCCAGATTATTTCACAAGAGATGATGTAACTATTATTAAATTTTGCTTGCGTTTTGTGTAATCGGAATCCAACATGCTAGGCTATGCGTGTTTTGTGTCAATTTGGGCAATATTTTATGTAAGTGGAATGCATTGATATGTTGTGATACGGTAATGATTGATTAACGAATTAATATTTGCTATGCAGTAATATAGAAGTAGATAAATAATATACGTAGATAAAATGTCTAGGGGCTCAGAGAGTGATGATTGTGTAACAGCTAATGGGAGGGTTTACATTCCTGAAGTAAGAAATGAGGAAACACCAGCAGTTGGGATGCAGTTCGACTCGCTTGACATCGTTTATAATTTCTATAATAGATATGCATTCTTGGCTGACTTTGGTATTCGACTTCATTCCAACTTTTGGGGGAAAAATAAGAAAGAGATTCTAAGGAAAGAATTTGTATGTTGCAAACAAGGTGCATACAGGAAAGATGAAACTCGGGAAAGAAAAAGACAGCGGGGAAT